ATGGATGTTCAGCTTTGATTCTCTGAAGGCAGAGGGCAAAGCATTTCATTGTGATGATTCAGTGGTGTCATTGTTACAGTGAAATGAGATAATGTGGTTTAAGTTCATTGCTTTCTGATAGTCTGCCTTAATGTTGAGACAGAACTGAGAGAACCTACAGGAATACATGGCTATCATACCATTCAGCTGCCTTTTGGGATTGCAGTCAGTTTATATTCAGATACTCCCTAAATCTCTGGGTAGTACAGAAATGCTGACTTGTTTGGTAATCTGAGAGGTAGCACGTATAAGGGAAAGTGTCTCATCCTTCTGTGGTTGAAGTTTTCAGGCTAGACTAGTATTCTTATATGGATAGTATGAAAGATAAACTTCAGTATTGCTTGTCGTGGGTTCAGGACCTGACCTTAAACTCATTAAATAGATGAAGAAGAAGGCTTTTCTCAAGGGAAGAATGGTATGTATAAAGACTCCATTGTAGAAATGTTGATATATTCAGGGAATTGGGAGTAAATCAGTTGGTCTAGTGAGGAGCATTCATGTAGGGGAGTTAGTAAGCGACAGAGTTAGAAAGGGAAATTGGGTCCAGATCTTTACCGTAAGTTTTTGAGTAAGGAAATTACCCGATAAAGGTGTTATTGAAGGAAGAAGGACCTGATAAAACCATCATCATCAAGTCGATTCTAGCTCATAGCGACCCTATAGGACAGAGTAGAACTGCCCCCTAGGGTTTCCAGGGAGCGGCTGGTGGATTCAGACTGCTGACCTTTTGGTTAGCAGATGACCTGAGTAAGGAAATAACCTGATAAAGGCATGATTGAAGGAAGAAGGACTTGATAGCAGAGAGTAAACCCCAAAACCCAAACCCATTGCTGTCAAGTTGATTCTGACTCATAGCGACCCTATAGGACAGAGTAGAACTGCCCCATAGGCTTTCCAAGGAGCAGCTGGTGGATTCGAACTGCCAACCTTCTGGTTAGCAGCTGAGCTCTTAACCACTGCACCACCAGTGAATTTGATGAACAAGAAAATGGAGGTTGTGGATAGGGACTTTTTTCATAGTTTAGGCAAAGGTCATAGGAAATGTAGGCAACATGGAGAACGAGGACGTGGCAGAATTATTTAGATATGAGGTTTTAAGGGATAAGATGGAGAAAATTGAGGTTTGGAGGCTGGATAACCTGAAGCATACTTATAACTTAGGGTGCTCCTGTTTTCTCTCCACCTTAATTTAATCTGCCTTTATCTCTAGCCTGAAATGTGATCAGGGCCTCTAATTGATTTGTTCCACTTTTTCTTTCAAACTCTCCTCCATAGAGCAGCTGGAGTGATTTTAAAAATACATGTAGCAGATCGTGGCAGTCTCATTTGTAAGACCTTTCAGTAGTTTCCTTTTGGACGTAGGATAAAATCCAAACTCCTATCCATAGCCTAGAAAACTCTGTATGATCTGGCCTTGTCTTCACCCTACTCTTTGTCACAGGTCTTCCTCATTTCTCCCAGTGAGCCTGGCTCTGTTCTTTCTCAAGGCGATTACACACACTATTGCCAGGGCCAACTCCTTATCAGCCTTCGGGTCTCATCCTAATTTTAAATAATTCAACAGATAATTTAGTGTTTACCATATGGGGCACTATTCCAAATGCAGAGAGATAAATGTCACCTAAGAGAAGCCTTGGCTGAACTATTTTATTTATTTGATTATTGTTTCTTCCACCTCCCTAAACAAAACAAAACAAAAACAAAAAACTTGTTGCCGTCAAGTTGATTCTGATTGATGGCGACCCTATAGGACAGAGTAGAACCTGCCCCATAGGGTTTCCAAAGCTGTAACCTTTATGAAGCAGACTGCTACATCTTTCTCCCATGGAGTGGCTGGTGAGTTTGAACTGCCAACCTTTTGATTAGCAGCTGAGCGCTTAACCACTGTGCCACCAGGGCTCCTTGTTTCTTTTCCACTGGATTATAAAAGGGCAAAGGTAGAGAGCATGTCTGTTAATTCACCAGTGTATACTTAGCACAGTGCCTGGGACGTGGTAAGTGCTGAATAAATATTTGTTGAATAAATGAATTAAGAGGCTGTGTGGATTTGGAGGGAAAGAAGCCATAGGGGATGAGGAGACATTTTATTTCAGATATATGGATATTTAATAGGACAAAGATTACATGCAAGTGGAAGTGCCTGACAGGCAGTTGGAGAAGATGAACAGGAGAGAAGGAGAGGTCAGGGTCAGATATATTTTAAGGTCATTCTTTTAGAGGAAGTACTTGAAATCATAGGAGATAGATTCAGTTCCTTCAGAAGAGAGTGAGGACAGAATAATCATGGACCATGGCTTGAACCTTGAAAACAGCAGTATGTAGAGAGTGGAAAGAGAAGAAAGAGGAGTGCTCCTGGATGGAGGAGTTAATAAGTTTTACGGAAATAGAAGTTTTTTTTAATCTATGAGGGAGTCTTAGATATCATGTAGTCTTATCATTGTTATTCAAAGTCCCAGTCTGTGACCTATTACAGGATGGTGACAAGGAGTTTTCACCAGAATGTAAACCAACATGCTATTTCCTTCGCTGAAGAAGTCTTGCCATGAAAAAATGTCAGCTGAATTTTAAACAGTGTACCTAGTGATGTAGGTGATTTACATTCTGGTGTAAGCTCCTTAACTTCTAACTGGTCCTCGGGCGGCACTTTGAGTAGCGTTGGTTAACGTTTATTTTATTTAATCAAAAACTGAGTCCCAAAGAAGTGGTTTTTAGCACGATCACATCATTAGAGGCGAAATTAGGACTAGAGTCCAGTCCAGACTGCAATTCTTTCTAAGAAGGACAGGTTTTACTATGCTTATCATAAATAATACGTTTATAATTTTCATCTGTTCATTAAAAATGTTCCTCAGTGATTTTTTCTAGAATAATTGATTAATCATTGTTGTTAGTTGTTGTCGAGGTGCCTCCGACTCACAGCGACCTTACATAGAACAGAACATTGCCGGGTCCTGTGCTATCCTCACAATTATTGGTGTATTTGAGCCTGTTGTTGCAGTAATTGTGTCAGTCCATTTCATGGAGCGTTCCCTCGTTTTTGCTACCCCTCTACCAAACATGATGTCCTTTTCTAACAGTTGGTACTAATCATTCAACTAATTATATTTGAAGAAAAAAAAGTAGCCCTGTAATTCAGAAATACTCAGTAATTCACGCAGACCCTTTCCTCTTCGTTTTAGTTAGTTTGAATTAGTATTTTTTCTTCTTTTAAAAAAAAATGAACAATATTGGGAACTAATATTTAAAGCCTCTATCATATATATTTGGGGTTATAATGAGCCAGTTAAAGATTTAAAATTTATGTCTTGTGTCACAGATCAGGAAAGAGGGTAGCCATCTTTGTGGAACTTTGACAAGTCTCTTTTTTTGTTGTTATCGTATGATTGATTCTTCAGAATATTGCTAGAAGTTTTTCCTAAAGGCATTAGTGTTTCTCTTATAAGTTGTTGTGTTTGTATCCAGGGGTTAACTGAGCAGTACCAGTAGACATTGCTAACCTGAGGAACCAGAGACATTAACATACAAAAAAATGGGTTAATAGCCTTGCAATGGGTTAGTAGCCTGGCCGTCTAGAAGTCCTTAAGGGGCTCTCAATAAAAGTCATCCTATACAGATAACGTTTACAGTTTAAATTTGGAACTCACTTGGAAAGACTGCTTGTCTCCATTCTTTCAGAATTGCTTATGATAGATGCTAACCTGTAAGAAGAACGTTTGTTCATTCCTGTTTGCTCTCTTTGGAGTAAAACTTGCTCTCTTCTCTGCTTTGCTTCTGGGTAATTCACCTACAAAATGTTAGACCTTTTGGTAATGTCCCTCAAGTCCCTGAGGCTTTGCTTATTCATTCATTAATTTGCGTAATTTCTCATACAAAGATTTATACCTATATTGTGACGTTAGTTGCAATCAGTACAATGTGACAGCACAGCTCCCACTTTCCACCCTGGGTACCCTGTGTCCATTCAGCCAATTCCTGTCCCTTCCTGCCTTCTCATCCTGCTTCCAGACAGGAGCTGCCCATTTGGTCTCCTGTATCTAATTGTTATTCATTTATTTTTAATCTTCTTTTTTTTCCTGTTCCTCAGAGTGGATAGTTTTTATTGGTCTGTCTTCAATTTCACTTACTTTTCTTCTTCATCTCCAATCTGTTGTTAAGCCCACATGATGAATTTTTTTTATTTGAGGTATTGTATTTTTCAGTAGTAGACTTGTCATTGTTTTTTATGATTTCTAGTTCTTTGTTGAGATTTCCTGTTTTTTTTTTTTAATTACAAGTATATTTTTCCTTTCATTCTTGAGCTGCTTTAAATATTTTCTCTGCAAATTCCAACTGCTGGGTCATCTTGACTGCTTTTTTCTTGAGTATGGGCCGTGTTTTCCTGTTTCTTCATATATCTAATAAATTTCTATTGGTTTGTGGGAATTATTAATTATGTGTAGAGACTCAGGGTTCTGTTAAATTCCTCCAAAGAGTATATTGTTTGTTTGTTTTGCTTTGTTTTCAAGTGGGGAATTATCTTGATTGGACTCAGACTCCGAACTGTGTTCTCTGCATGTGAAATATCTGTTCAATTCTTTTGTACCCCCCTCTGGCTCACGGTTTTCAGGGTTTTCCCTTTTCAGCTGCTGTGGTGGCCCTCTGCTCTCTCCTCTGGCTCTTCAATCCAGAAAGACTGAGTATTTCTGTGTTTTGGCTGTGTAGGCCACTGGCCGCAGCCCGCTGTTGGTCCGTGCTCTTACCTTCTGCCAAGTATAGACCCCACCGCCAGTTTCTGCCAGATTTTGGTTGTTCTTCAGTTCCTTTAGGTCAAAGGCCAAACCTCTTGCTGTCGAGTCGATTCTGACTCATAGCAACCCTGTAGGACAGAGTAGAACTGCCCCATAGGCTTTTCAGGGAGTGGCTGGTGGATTTGAACTGCCTACCTTTTGGTTAGCAGCTGAGCTCTTATCCACTGTGCCACCAGGGCTCCTCCTTTAAGTAACTGGTTTCACAGATGTTCTGTCCAGAGTTCAGAGTAGTTTTCTCCAGGAGGGTAGGTCTCTTAGGGACTGCTTGGCCATTACCAGAGCAGACAGTCCCACGGTTTTTAGATTAAAGACGTCTAAATTTAACCTGCCCGGATGTTGCAAATAATGCATCGCCAAAGTTGATAAACTGTGCACTTATTTTTAGCATGTTGGAAGGTAAGATTACTGAATCCTAGCCTAAAGTTAAACAGTGCTAGGTACATTTCCTACTCCAGTCATTTCTCCCATTTGGTAGAGGCCAATATTATTGCTCTGAATTAGGTTTTTCGTTACATTCTAAAAGTATAACAGTGCCATGATCTGATAATTGCTTATTTTGTTTGAATAATTTTTTGATGTAAAGTCACTTTGATAGTCTGTCATAGTCTGTCCTTAGTGGTTCTGTTCCCTTAGGATTAGAGCTGAAGGAGTCCTGAAGAGCATACAATTTATTCTGTATTTTCAGGCAAGATTATTTCTGAATTGTTCAAAACCTAGGATTTTTTCATTCTGTTTTTAAAAAAAATGTGAAGATATCTTCTATCCTAAGTAACTTCTCAAGGCATAGCTAAGTTAGATCTCTTTTGCTCTTGCTTCCTCTTGTTCAGTTCTTGGTTGAGACGGAAGATAACTATCATTGCCATTTTCTTGGCCGCAGATTGCTTTGAGGAGATGTACAATATAGTACTAACAAGGAACAAAAGTACTGTGCAAAAGCAAGGCAGAGAATGCAGAAAACCAGTGACCATCCCAGATAACTCATCCCACAGTAGTTGTTATTTAGGGGGATTTCTAATAATTAAATTAACTGCCAGCATATTCCTGCCATGCCAGTCTGTATTTGTAATGTGATACATTTATGTTTAAGGTAATGTATTGAATTAGCTGCTTTTTAGGATTCTTTCTTTCATTTGCTTTCCATATATAGTCATCACCATCCAGTAGACTCTTTGCTTTATTATTATTATTTTAAAAATAATTATATTTTATTGTGTTTATGATTATAATAGTATTAAGTCATTTTACGAATAATTTACATAAGTAAGGATAAAGGAATGGTGAAAAATAGCTTTATTATAAATTTTAGTAAGAATTTAACATAGCAAACAACTGTATTGACTGAGTTTTGGCACATACCTTCAAATGACAAAAGAATATTATTATATGCCCTTTTAGAAAAATGAGATAGTTCAGGCTCTTATTGCAATATTGTATGATAAAGTCCTTCCTGTTGAATAACTAGCTGGATGAGAATATTCGTTTTTCCTTTTTGTCCTTAGAAATGTCTTGTTCTTAAGCTTGAGACCACTCATCTGTGATAGTGTTATCTGAAGAGTTACAGTCTTAGGTTTTATTTCTGTGATAAATTTCACCCTCATCATTAGAGTGTAGAGTGTTCTTATCCAGCTTTTTGCATTTTACCCTCTGATTCGTCAAGGTGAAGTATTTTCTGTCAGGTTTTTTCTCTTTGCTATAAAGGATAGAAAACAAGATACTCTGAATTCTCAGCTGCGTTTAATAAAAGCTAAAAGACTACAAAGATACTGTCCCTAGTCTTTTCTAGCTTCTTGAAAGAAGATAATAACAGTGTAATAACAAAACTGAAGGATGGATATTTTTCCACTATTGCATCATACTTTTAGGTGATTTAATCATTCTTCTAGTTTCTTATTATTTTAGCTTTTAAAAGTATAATTGGAAATAATTGATAATAATGATGAGTAAGTAGCAAAATATTTCAAGATATAGGAAAAATAAGATCACTGAGATCCCATAATGCATCTTAGATTAATAAAAGGATCCAGTGGACCCATGTAATTGTAACATAGAATGGATTTTTATTGTTTTTTAAAAATACAGAAAAATAATTTTTTTTTGGTTATTTGGTAGGCCTCTAGGAATAAAAGTCTGAAATACCAATCCTTAAAAATAGTCAAAACTGCTCAAGAAAGAAACTCAAAAACTAAAATTGGGTCTGGTAAACCCTAGTGGTATACTGAGGGTTAAAAGAAATGGAAGTTCTTTGTTGTGCAATGAAAAAAAATTTTTTTTTGTGGCGGGGGTGAAGTAATTTGGAGCTAACTGAAAAATCTTTATCTTTAAGGCTTTAGGGGACCAGATAATATTTGTAAATCGTCCTGATAAGAAGAAAATTCTTTTTTTCAATGATAAGAGCTGTCAGTTTTCTGTGGATGAAGGTGAGCCTTTCTATATAGATACTTGTTTTAGTTCACATCTGTTACAATTTGATAAAATTTATAATTGTATAAATTTAAAATACAACATTGCTTTTCGTAAACATTATTATCTCTTAGAACATCTTAATGGCTCAGTGCCTAACTATTGTTTCTCAGAATGTAATTTGAAATATTTTAGGTTAATTATACTTGCAGTCATGGTATAGCAGTTCATGATTTTTTACCCTCAGCTGTACCAAGAGGAGTTTACTTCTTTATGTCTATTATTTTACGAATAATAACTTCATATCGTGGTATGAGAACTTGATACATGTTGAAAAAAAGAACAGACTTTCTTCAGTGACTGGTATTCTGTTAAATGACTTGTGAGTCTTCCGAGTATCAGATTGGATAAGGGAGAAGATACCTTTTTTCTGTATGGTAGTTGTGGTATTAGATGCCAAGTAATATGTTGTGTCTCCTACTAAACGTAAGATGCCTGTATTTTGGATTTTAAATGTTCGGGCAATACTGTTATGTAGGTAATGATTAAACAGTGGTTGAGTGGTGCGAAATTTCTTTGCTTATACAAGTAGAAATGCTCTTTTGAGAAAATAACGATAATATTTTACTGCAAATTTGTATTACTTTTGAAATTTTATGAAATGTCAAGCAAATAATTGGCTATCAATTTACTTATAAAATTTCAAAAGTAATGCAAACTCACAGTAAAATATTCTAACAATATAGATGTACGATAGAGGCTCCAAATAGGGAAATTATTTCTGTAGCCTGCCTAGTAGATCATATTGAGTCTTCTTTATGTCATTCAATAAAAGAGACTTTATTGAATGAGCAATTTTGAACAAATGCATTTACAAGTCTTGTTACTTTATCTGTCATCTGGCTCTTGCTATTCAGGCTTATGGTGCTTGTAGATAGGGGTTTAGTCAGCGTGGAGTTACTTAGATGACCATGATTTGTTTTAGGAAATAGAATATTGTGTTTTTGTCAAAATCACATGAATGCCTGACAGAGTATCTTGAATGTATAGTTAGTCTCAAGTCATGTTTGTTAATTAAATAAAAGTTGGAAAGACATCTCAGTTCCTCACTGCCCTTGTTTCTAATAATAAGGGAAGAATTATATAAACAGCTTTGCAAAGTATCAGAAAATGCCCATGTGTGTGATTTTAGAGGGTGAGGAGGGCTTCGGGCAGTGAATAGCAAAGGCAAAGACCATAGGAAAGACTGATTTTTTCCCCCTAAAACCAAACCTGCTGCTGTCGAATTGACTATACTAGCAGAGCGCTTTAACCAATTCATAGTGACCCTGTAGGACAGATTAGAACTGCCCCGTAGGGTTCCCAAGGCTGTAAATCTTTACGGAAGCAGACTGCCACATCTTCCTCCCGCGGAGTGGCTGGTGTGTTTGTACTGCCGACCTTTTAGTTGGCAGCAGAGCACTTAACCACTGTGCCATCAGGGCTCCTATATTTTTTCCCCCTAGGCCTGTGTTTTTAAATCTTTTAATCTGATTCAGTGGACCCTTTTTTATAACAAATATTTTGTAACATCCTCTTTGCTCTTGTAAAATGAAATTCATAGGTAACATAACCTACTGTAAACGTAATTTCTTAGCAAATCTGTATACTATCCTCACTGTTACATAAAGGAGAAATAAAAAGAAATTGATTTATATTTTAAAATTTTACTTCAGTATTTATAAAAGCTCAGGCTATCATACTAGAATATAAATAGAATATAAATCAGATGGCTGTTTACATTTGTATGTAGAGTCACCATGAACGTGATAGCTACAAATGGACTAATATAGGCCTCATGTATCAGCAGCTTATATACCACAACTGCTGTTTTCCTTAAGTGGTAAAGAATTCTTGGAAAAGTTCTGAAAAATATAAGGTGCAACTTTTCTGTGTTTACAAGGAAAATCATTCTATGTATACAGTCAGCCAAACCAGTTGCCGCCGATTCTGACCTTTTGGTTAGCAGCCGAGCTCTTAACCACTGTGCCACCAGGGCTCCATATATACAGTGTACACTGTATATTCCTAAAAAAATCGAGTGTGTGTTAAAAACAGTACAAAAAGTCCTTTTTTTAATATGTAAAACAGAATTGGGTTCTAGGCTCAGTTTATTATTATAAACTTGTTTTTAAAATTAAGGTGTATACTTTCTCAGAAAGATGGCTGGGAGTAAGCAGAGTTTTTCAACCTCAGCAGTATTAACATTTTGGGCTGGATAATTGTTTGGGTGTAGGGGGTTGTCTTGTGCATTGTAGGTTGTTTACCAGCAGATACCAGTAACATACCCTCTCCCTCCAATGTGACCACCAAAAATGTCTCCAGACATTGCTTAATATCCCCGGGGGCCAGATTGCCCCGATTGTGAATTACAGTAAAGGTAGAGTTTATGATTATAAAATAGAGAGAAACTAATTGAGATATATTGTCTTCAAGCTTCTTTTAAATGATTCTTTCATTCAGCGATACCAGGGATATCAAAGTAGTGTCAGATATCAGGATAGTACTAGGAATATCAAAGTGAATAAGGATTCGTCTTTGAGCTTACAGGGGAGAATGACATGTGACTGCAGATAGTACCATATGGTGCATATTGTAACTGTATTCATATAGTGCTGTAGAGACACAGGGGAACAGCCAGCCACCCAGAGGAACCTCACGTGTAAAACAGCATTCTTTTAGTTGAAAGTGTCAGTATTACATAACTCACTAATTTAAAAACAAAACAAAAACAAAAAACAATTTTTATTAGTGACGCGAAGGATGCGTGTTTCCAGAGAAGGCCCGTTGAAAGCTGACGTACACGTTAACGTTTGTCTGTCTCCTTTTTTTTGGTTCCTGTTTTACCCCTCAAATGATTTATGTCTTGAGTATATGGAGATTGTTGTTTTAGCACAGTAGGTGGCGGTCTTAGCCACAGAGAGGAAATCCTGAGTGAACAAGCTTTCGGTCATACAGAAGAGTCTCCCTCTGTTCTGTATATAATAAAAGCAGGTGTCCTAAAATGAGGCAGATCGGAAGTAAAGATAGTGTTTATTATGTAGTAATCCTTTTAATTCAGTAGAGAGGTGAACACAAAGTAGTTTTACCTAGAAAATTGAAGTTAGGAATGCATCTTATTTCATAAAGGCATTTATTTCCTTAAATGAATCTTACGCATATAGAGGCAGTATAAACACAGTGGTTAAAAGGATGGTCTGAGAAGTCAAACAGTAGGTTTAAGTGTTTGCTCTGTTCCTTACGAGCTTTACTTGACCTCTGAGATTCCTTATCTGTAAAATGGGAATGTTGGTGTTTGTACCTCCTGGTCTTTAGGAGGATTAAATGAGTTAATATAAATAAAAACACTTAGAGCTTGGAATAGAATCTGCACATAGTAAGAATGCAGTCATGTTAGCTATTATTAATAGTATTGAAAATAAAAAAAAAATACCCAAAATATTAGTTGTTTTAATCTTTCTTGTTTATCTGGTTAATGACCCAATGGATCTGTAGTTTTACGTTTGGTTAGACAAGATAGCAAAGAAGCATAGCCAATTTAGCAGTCTGAGACCACATTTGCAGTCTTTTACAATTATATAATGTTCTTTGGTATTCTCCATGAGAAATCTGATGAAAATCTGATTTTTCCCTGATTGCTGGTAACTCGTTCTTTTGCCTGGAAGCTTATTCAATTCCAACTTTATCCTTAGAATTCAGGACTCCTCTCAGTAGTTACTGCTTTTGAGTCCTTAGCCTGGGGCTCTGCTGCTATTTTAGATAATTATTTTTAATGACTATGTAGTATTCTGTTACATAGATATACTTTAAACAATTTTTCTGACCCTGCACAGAGGGAAATTTAATGTTTGTTTTGTTTTATTTTTGCTGTTACAAATAATGCTCAAATAATGCACAATCCTTGCGGTACATATATATGCGCTTGTCTGCTTATCTCTTTACTGTTGTTTTCATGAAGTAGAATTGCTGCGTCAAGGTGCATACATATTTAGGATAATTTCAGCACTTCGAATGCCAGTCTCATAGTTTGGACCAGTTTACACTTCCACAGCAGCATATGAGTGGGTATCCATTTCTTCATATCCTCACTGAGAACCTGGTATTTTTAGTTGACTTTGACAGTCTCGGGAAAAAAAAGATGATCTCCTTTTTAATTTGCATGTTTTACATTTTTTTTTTTTTATTGTACTTTAGGTGAACGTTTACAGAACAAATAGATTCTCATTAAACAGTTAGTGCATATGTTGTTCTATGACAGTGGTTAACAACCCCACGACAGGTCAGCACTGTCCCTTCTCAACCTAGGGTTCCCTATTACCAGCTTTCCTGTCCCCTCCTGCCTTTTAGTCCTTGTTGCTGGACTGTTGTGCCCCATTACTCTCATTTTATTTTATGGGGCTGTCTAATCTTTGGCTGAAGGGTGAACCTTGGAAGTGACTTCATTACTGAGCTAAAAGGGTGTTTGGGGGCCATAGTCTCAGGGTTTCTCCGGTCTCTGTCAGGCCAGTAAGTCTGGTCTTCTTTTGAGTTAGAATTTTGTTTTACATTTTTCTCCAGCTCTGTCCGGGACCCTCTGTTGTGATCCTGGTCAGTATAGTCATTTTTTTACAGTTTAACAAAATTAAAAGAAAAACAGTTTTTTCTGCTTGTTTTATTTTGTACCTCCATCAACTGAGCATTTTCTGTCCGTACACATCACATCACATCACATTAAAAAGTAATTAGATTTGGGACCCTGTGAGAGCCTTCCTTGCCTTTTAGTGTTCATCTTAAATATTTATGCAGCTGTAATACATTTACATGGTAGATGTAATATTTAAATACTGCAAAAAGGAAAGGCAGGGATTAAAGTAGAGATGTGTTATTGAAAAAGATAAAAACTCGAGGAGTTTTTATTCAGGGATTTTCCTCTGGAAATAGCTCAAGTTACTTTTCCTTTAGCGAAAGGAAATGGTTAAATGTTTTAACGTACTTTCAA